TGCATTAATAACTTTGTAATGTTATTATTTATAAATAAACATTTTTTATGAAGAAAATGACTTATATGCACTACTACAGTTAGCTTTACTTTTTCATTAAGTTTGCACGTTTACCCCTAAAAAGAACCCCTATGTCGTATTCCTCAGTTTCAAGGCAGTGTTGTCTCAGCCAGTATCGGAATCCTCGGAGTCGACATATCGAGTGACGTGCAGTTTCGTGGTCACTTGGAAGAGAAGGGCAAATTGGCCTCTAAAAAGCTTGGCGTGCTCAGCAAAGTGGGACAGCATTTCATGCCGGCACACCGCCTGCAACTTTACAGGGCGCAGGTTCGGCCTCACATGGAATACTGTTCCCATATCTGGGCAGGGACTCCCCAGTGCCAGCTCCTTCCACTTGACCGCATCCAGCGCAGAGCGGCTCGAATCGTCGACGACAGAGTCCTTTCCGATCGGCTCGACTCATTGGCACTGCGAAGAGATGTTGCACCCCTTTGCATTTTCTTTCACATCTACCATGGGGAGTGCTCTGAGGAATTGTTCGAATTAATCCCAGCCGCCAAATTTCACGAACGCACATCGCGGCAGAACTCCCGATACCATCCACACCATCTGGATGATTGGCTGTCCACCACTGTGCGATTTAGAACGACGATTTTTCCGGACCGATATGACTTAGGCACCTTCAAGAAAAGAGCGTACTCCTTTTTAAAAAGCCGGCAACGCATCTGCAATTCCCTCCCTGGTGTTGCAGTTGTTCATGGGCGGTGGTAGTCACTTACCATCGGGTGAGCCGCATGCTCGTTTGCCCCCTCTCCTATAAAAAAAAAATTTGCGGGTATTATTATCAAAATCGAAAAATTTTTCATCTTCCTATTAGGGCTCATTTTAGTTGTTATAGCGGTAAAACTGCAAACTCACTTATTATGCTCATTATCAAGGAAGCCCACGTATTGTGACGGACAACTATGGAACCCTACCTCTACATTGTGCGTGGCACGACACGCACTTGGCCAGTTTTTTTTACTAGTAAAAAAGTCTCAATTCTCTTTACCATACAAATCACATAAGCTTCACGCTGCAGTTTGACACTAATATTCTATCAGAGTGTGGTCCTACCCTGCTTGAAGCAAGCCATTTGTGCTGCAGTGTGGCTCTTCAACATTTATTTTATTAACAAAAATATATATTGGATACTAAAAACCAAATAAAATGAAAGAAATATAGTTTAAATTTTTAGTTTGTCTCAATTGATGAATTTTAAAATGTTGCTATTAATTATATTATTATATGTTGAGTTTATTATCTATGTGAGTGTTAGAAACTACTGTGGGAATGTATCTTAATTTATTCCTAATTGTAGTGTTACTAGCTACAATTTCTTCATTTCAAAAGATAGAGATTATAATTTTTTTTTATAATAATGAAGTCGATCTTAAAAGAATTGCCTACAACTCACTGATGCATGGCAGGCTAGTTATTTACACACATTGATTAATAGAATTGAACATGGACTTACAAAGACTAATAGAATAGAATAGAATATTCCAATTCAATTAGATTATTGCATATTAATAAGCTATGTTAATAAATAATATCATTAAAGTCAATTTTTAATTTACCATTGGGTTGGGAAATACCTCTGACCTAGGTGATAATGTCCTTTGGTCTAGACGGAATCAAAGGTACTCTGTGGACTGAATTAAGGTCTTGGCAGTCAGTCTCAACAGAGACTAGCCATTTGCACAGGATAGGATTATAGAGCCAGTGTGTATATGCAAATATAAGTGCACTGTATTCCCTCACTCTCATCTAACTATCTATCTATCGATCTAACGCAGCAGAGCTAGGAGTCATAGTGTTCTGTGATAGAGACAGCATTCTTTTGGTTTAATAGCTTACCATTAACATTTCCCAGCCTATTGCCATTTATTCCGAGATGGAAATGAAAATATACTCAGGAAGCAGTACAAAATACCTTTATAGACTTATTAGAGATAATAAATTATCTTCCCCTGAGATGATAAAAAAATTATAGAAAATGAAGGGTATAGGCATATTTTGTTTTTAGAACAAAAGGTGTTTGGATTATTCAATGCAAAACGGCAATTTCATACAGTTATCCTTAATATTAATTCTAAGATATCAAAAAAACAATTTCATGTTTTGAAATCTTTTTATTCGGAAATAAATCTATGAATGTCAATAATGAGATTTCGCTCCACTATTTTACACTCGCACGCTGTCTAACAACTTAAAATAAAAACACACAAATACATATAAAAGTAAAAAAAAAATATCAGTTATTGGTAAAATTTGGACGGAAACTAATGGTATATTAAGTAACGCGCTTACCACATAAATATCATAATATGAGATTCATTCATACAATTTTATTTATTAAAAATTCTCCGGTTAATATAAATAGAAAATGTATGGACGGTAAATTTTCAAATTTTGTACTTTAGCTCAAAAACAGGTTTAATGTAACCGTTGCATTTTTATAACAATAAAAAAAATCTCCTACTATAAAACTCTTGAAGACCTACCTACATATAAAATGTTCGCTCATCAATTAAATCTAATATTTTTGTTTTATACAACTTCATTACAAATATTGTCCTCTATCAATAAGGCATTCAGTTTATCTATGTTTACATTAATAATGTTTAATACATTATATTGCTTGAAGATGCTTTTACGTAAAAAATATTACTGCATTTTAAGGCCATTCTACATTCTCGGTAAAACTTAAATGAAATTGCAGTGATTAGTGACAGTAGTTAACATTTTTGTCAGTCTTGGTAAAATTTTCAATGAAATAGTTTAATAACCTAAATAAAATTTCTATTAAATATCCCCCATTTAGCAAATAAAAGTCTGAAATAACTTTTCGTTTCGAACTTTCGTACTTTAAAACTATTGTATGAGTCAAGAGTGTGGAGCAGCCTTAAGATATGCACTTACTTTTACCTTATCTATAGTATTTAAAATTATTTACATTCATATTCTGCATTGCCAGTTCATTTTATCCAATACAGACACAGGCAAGCACGCATTCTATGCTACAGCTTAAGATATTACCTTTATCTTAAACGGAAGTAACCTGTTCCTTTTTGATATGTTACATAATTGTCTAATATACAATAATGTATACAATAGAAAGTGAAATGCAAAAGCACCAAAAAAAAATATATATTCATATGTGAAATTAGTTTTGAGACATATTAATATTTGTTATTGAGTAATATTCTTTTTGAAATTATAATATAGAAGATATACTTTTCCCTAAAATACATATTATCATATACAATATATCATTTGTACTAAGAAATATAAAGTTTTAAGACTACCTGAACACTTCTTTTCTTAATCTACTAATGCTATAAGGGAATGGTTCAATGAATCTTTCTAAGATTTTTAAATGCTAATACGCCTTTGTATAGATATGAAATAGATAAAATAAATGAAAGAGTTTATATATAAAGTCTTAACATAAGTCTTGATTACAAAACACTTATATAAAAAACCACAATTCCTTGTGGTTTTTAATTCATTTTGCATCTTATATAAATATTCTTTGTTTCAGCATACTGGGTGGGATTCTATATTATTAATATTTATTAGAATGGGTAACGAGTCATCATTTATTTGTTATAAAGTAAATAGCAGGCAAACTATTATCATTCATGAAATATTTTGCAAATTGTGGATTGTTACAGGATAACTGAAAATATAGTTAGAGAGAGTATGATAAAAACACATTTGATATCAAGTTTAATTGATAAAAAGGCTTTTTCTTATTTCTTCCATGTAAGAACTATTAATTAAATACAAAATGCTACGATTTGAAATATTTTTCAGTTTTTGTATGGTCGTTCAGATTGTTTTCGTCCATAATAGGTATATTTTATTACTAGATATATCATAACATTTCAGTACTTTCTACTATTTGTTAAAATCGTTTCAAAATGCCATAATAATTTATTTAAAGTTCTTGATTCAAGATATTGACACAATGAAACTATTATATCAGTGTCAATCTAATATATCTTAGAAGGTCAGTATCAATGGTTATACTTATTAAGGACGGTAATTGACATCAATAGAATCATCAAAAGAATATAAAAATTGAGTACATAATTTAAAACTAATCTTAGACACGTTAAGTTGTGATAAGAGTGATAACTGATATGTCTAAAGTGATTTAATTTCCATTATACATTTCAAGTGTTTGTGTAACACTAAATACATTTGTGTTATATTTATATTTCAAATCCATAGACTGTCACTATTGTGTTACAAATACAAACCTTTAATTTTTTATAAAATTTCAAATTAACACATCATTGCAAGACAATGATGTGTTAATATAACCTATTAATATTTACTTACAGTTTTGACAACCTTATAACATACAGTCTGTTGTTTTCTTTTGGCTTAGTGGAGCCCTTCGGACCCAAATAGAGTTGTCACGTGTACTTGAATACTTTCACTATAGCTGTTGCTCCTCTTACTGGGATATGAAAGATCGCACTGGATTTCGAGAAATACTTTTTAGTTTCGATCGCTAGTGAAATCTCACTGGAATTCGTGTGGCTCCACTGGGATCTGTGTAGCTCCATTTGCGTCCGAATAGCTTCGCTAGGATCCGAATGGCACCGCTAGGAGTCGAATGGCTCCATTAGAATCCGAATGACTCCATTTAAATCCGAATGGTCCCACAAGGATCTGAATGACTCCACTTGGATTTGAATGGCTCCACAAGGATCTGAATGAATCCACTCGGATTCGAACGACTCCACTTGGATCCGAATGGTCCCATTAAAATCTAAATGGCTTCACTGGAATCCAAATGGGTCTAGTAAGATCCGAACAACTCCATTAGGATCCGAATGGCTCCACTTGGACCTTAATGGCTCCATTGGTATTCGCATGGCTCCACTAGGATTCAAACCGCCCCATAGAGATCCGAGCGGGCCACTGGGATCCCAGCCGAGCGCCTAGTGCGTTTGGCGGAGCGTGGTTGCGAGGCGTGCGAGGAGCGCGGCGGCGAGTGCGAGCAGGACGGCGCTAGCGGCGGGGCGCGCGGCCGCGTTGTAGATGGCGCAGTAGGGGCACTGCGACGAGCCGCACACCTCGCAGATGTTCAGCAGGTACGTCGGCAGCGCGTCGAAGATCGTCTCGTTGAACCGCTCTACACCAAAAATACGTTTCACTTTTATTGAATAACGATTAGTGACGGTGTAAGAATATCCACTGCTCCATATCATTCCGTGGGTTTAGGTAAGAGGCGACAGAGGGAAATAAATCAGTAGATGGGCAGCAGCGTCTTCCTAATAATGACTAAAATAAAAAACTGCGATTGCCAAGCATGGCAACTATGCAAATACGCCCCTTATGAGCAATCTATGGGGAGGCCTATGTTCAGCAGTGAACTTTAACAGTACAGACTCCCCCATACATTACCTCATAAGGGGGATATTTGCCATAGTTGCCACGTTTGGCAAGCGGGTTGACAACTGCAGTTTTTTTATTGTTCTTCGTTATTAGGAAGACGCTGCTGCCCATCTCCTGATTTGTTTCCCTCTGTCACCTTCTACGCGCCTCTTGATACAACACACCCGAACAACACCTATAAACATCCTTACAACACCTGTGCAAGTCAATGGAGATAGTGAATGAGGAGTACGAGATCGTGCAGATGAGCTACCACCAGAACACGCTGCTGGTGTACGGTACGGTAACGGTAACAGAATAAACGTAACATACGAGCACACTGTCCACCTGATAGTAAATGGATACTATGGCCCATAGACACCTACATATACCTTCAAATAAGTAGAGGAATGCAGGTGCGTCGTCACCTATGAGAACTGTCGTTTTCAGTAATAAGGGATAAAACGAAACACAGCACATTACTAAGCTGCTATTTCATAATGCTATTCTGTGAGAGAGTTGTCCTTCCCCTGCAGAGCAGACCTATTCATATTACATTACCATAAAATAACCACAGCATAGCTCTACAACATGGGCTGATATACATAATTAAAAGTTATAAATGTTGGAAAATTAATTATACAGGCCGTCCCAGTAATGGTGGATAATCTAAGTTTGAGCACCTGTGGTGAAAAAAAAAACGTATAAGATCTGTGTGGCCAACCATTTAAAAAGTGTGCCTATATCATGAGGATTCTAAAACATTAGCATACTATGTACTTAATGACCTTACTTACTGAGCTATAGCCGTTAATGTGTAAAAGCAGGCATTTCATTACAAAATTATTGGCAGATAGTTTTTTTTTTTTTAACATTGCATTGTTAGGTAAGTAAATTTGTTGCCCTTGAAAATTTTACTTTACTACCTGCTCGCCTTGTTTGGACGAATTCTAAGCTGTGTGAGCGAGAAACGGTGCTTAGGATTAACCTTGACCTTCTCGACATCGCATGTGCTCTATTATTTCGGACTCTGCTACAAAATACTATTTCGCATTCTACTGGACTCTTGACTTGTGCATTTTGATTGGATTTTGATTGTTTGGTGATATTTGTGACGACTCGGTATTCTACTGGACTCATGATTTGTGCATAACAACAAAACTGTGTCATGTTACGAGAAATGTACACACCCCAAGGGTTGTATCTGGTCAAGGGTGCTATCATCTATGGTGAATGTAGCGTGTTTATTAGAGTGCACGGCATTTATTCAGAGGGGAGAATGCCTGGTGCTGGTATTGGTGGTGCCAGTTGCAGAGGACGATACCTGACATTGACATTGAAGAAATTGTCCATGATATGGTTGAAAAAGATCCGTCTATTTCGATTCGAGATATCGAACGACGCACTGGAGTATCGCACTCTTGGTCCGAGAGCTCATGACGCATTTTTCATGAAGTGTTTGATGCATCATGAAACTTTGTTTAAAGGTATCAGTCGACTCAATAAGCAGGTATATGACTGTCTGCCTGGCCTACCTGGGTACACCTGGTACTGCGCATACAGTTAAGTCGAAAAAAAATTTGCCCAAAAAAAAGTGTTTGATTCAAATAATAATAATGACTATCCGTTAGCTAAGTTTATAAACAATTAAGAAAAAAAAATGGCAGACACTTCTGAAGGGGTTTACATAGGGGCAGACGACCACAAAGTTGTATTTTCAAAAATTCCAAAAAAAGTGTTTGATTCAGTCTGCCATTTTTACAGCGTGTTTATTATGTATAATAAAATATTCTCACAAAAAGGCAGACAGTTTCTCCGGGGGTTACTAATTTAAAAATCTATACAAATAAATAATCACTTTTTAAATGGTCCATATTTCCTATCATAATAATTAATACATCTGTATCACATGATTTGATAAGTACATTGACAGCAGAATCCGATTCCAATTGACAAACATGAAAATAATTATACTTTTTTAAGATTATTTAAATAGCTGCTGATAAAATAAAAAGCTGTTCCCCGCGACTTCGCCCGCATGTAATTTAGGGTTTTATTTTTTTGCGCGGTACCCTAATAATTTTTTTTAAATTTAAAAGCAGCCTAAAATACTCGTTATAACATCAATTATCTGCCAGTGAAAGTCCCGTCAAAATCGGTCCAGCCATTTCGGAGATTAGTCGGAACAAACAGACAGACAAAAATTTTAAAAATTGTGTTTTTGTTATAAATATCGTATATAATGTCTTATGCGTTTAGTAAAAAATTGTTATTTTGAAATTAAAAACAGACATTTAAATTTTATTTATTTGTATAGATTTTTAAATTAGTAACCCCCGGAGAAACTGTCTGCCTTTTTGTGAGAATATTTTATTATACATAATAAACACGCTGTAAAAATGGCAGACTGAATCAAACACTTTTTTTGGAATTTTTGAAAATACAACTTTGTGGTCGTCTGCCCCTATGTAAACCCCTTCAGAAGTGTCTGCCATTTTTTTTCTTAATTGTTTATAAACTTAGCTAACGGATAGTCATTATTATTATTTGAATCAAACACTTTTTTTTGGGCAAATTTTTTTTCGACTTAACTGTATGCGCAGTACCAGGTGTACCCAGGTAGGCCAGGCAGACAGTCATATACCTGCTTATTGAGTCGACTGATACCTTTAAACAAAGTTTCATGATGCATCAAACACTTCATGAAAAATGCGTCATGAGCTCTCGGACCACTACAGCACATCGGATTCTCAAAAAATGTAGACTTCACCCATATCACGTTAGACGTGTGCAAACGCTTCAACAACGTGACTACCGAGCACGAGTTACCTTTTGCAGAGAAATGCTGAGAAGAATGGATGAATGTCCCGGGTTTTTTAGAAAATGTGGAGCGACTAGTCAACGTGTAAAAGAGACGGATACTTTAACTTGCATAATCTGCACAGTTGGCAGCAAACAAACCCATATTTGATGAGAGAAGGTAGGTCGCAATACCACTTTAAAATAAATTATTGGACAGGAATACTAAACGGAAGAATCATAGGCCCCTATGTATTGCCGGGTAAAGTGAATGGAGCCAATTCATTTATTAGAAGATGAGCCACTAGCCATCCGGCCAAGAATGTGGCTCCAAAATGATGGTTGTCCGGCACATTACGCCGTCCAAGTAAGGAGTTACTTAAACGAAGCCCACCGTGACCGATGGATCGGCCGAATGAGGTCGATATTGTGGCCACCAAGATCACCTGATATATATATACCATTAGATTTTTTGTTGTCTCGCTCACATAGCTTAGAATTCGTCCTAATAAGGCGAGCAGGTAGGAAAGTAAAATTTTCAAGGGCGACAAATGTACTTACCTAATAAAGACATGCAATGTTAAAAAAGAAAAACTATCTGCCAATCATTTTGTAATTTTGTAATGAAATGCCTACTTTTACACATTAACGGCTATAGCTCAGTAAGTAAGGACATTAAGCACATAGTATGCTAATGTTTTAGAATCCTCATGATGTAGCCAAACTTTTTAAATGGTTGGCCACACAGATCCTATAGGTTTTTTTTTTCACCACAGGTGCTCAAACTTAGCAGATAAATAAATTAAAAAATTTAAACTTATGTTTAGTGCCGTCTTGTAAAATACTACCCATAATAGTCGAAAAATCTAAGGGTCATTTAGAAACATCATTATTAGGGAACACATAAAAAGAAAAAAATCCGATCTAGGCATTAAACTGCGGACGTGATGACCACAAATGTGAGCAAAAGTACGAATTTTCATAATTTTATAAAACATGGCGTAGATCGCGAACCGTTCGGGATAAAATTTTTTTTTAGAGAACCGTGGCCACCTCCCCCCGCCCGAACACGTACGTACCAGATTATCCACCGTTACTAGGACACCTGTATAAGTCCCGCATGCTCATTAATTTTAATAATTAGCTACTTAATTTTCAATTTTGACTATTAATTATTTGACCAAAGTAACAACTGATTCTATAAATTATCTTTATTTCAGAGAAATAAGTAAATAAATAAATATCACTGCATTGCTACATTCGAAAAACATAATTATTTACATATAAACCAATTACTTAATCTTAATTAAATTTAGGACTGAGGTAACTTAGCTTTTGCTTGCTTGAAGTGATGTGTGTGTGTGTGCGTGGTGTGTGCGTGTGTGCATGCTTGCGCGCGTGTGTGTGTGTGTGTGTGGGCGAGCGCGCGTAAGCGTGCGCGCGTGTGTGCGTGCGTGGGTATGTGTGTGTGTGCGGGCGTGCGCGCGTATGTGTGCTTGCATGCGCGTGTGCGGGGGTGTGTGTGTGTGTGAGAGCGCGCGCGCGCTCGCGCGCGTGTGTGTGTGCACGCAAGCGAGCGTGCGCTCGTGTGTGCGTGCGTATACGTGTGTGTGTGCACGCGTGCGTGTGCGTAAGTGCGTGTGAGTGCGTGTGTGTGCGTGCGTGCGTGTGAGTGAACGCAAGCGTGTGTGCACGTGCGTTTGCGTGCGTGCGTGTACGAGCGCGCGCGCCTGTGCGTACGTGCGTGTGTGTGCGCGCGCGCGCCCGTTTGCGTGCGCGCGCCCTGTGCGTGCGTGCGTGCGTGTGTGTTTGTTTGTTCAGGTTATAATGGAGATATTATACTTTAATTAAAAAAAATATTAATGTAATGTGAAAAAAAAAGAAAATACCCTTTATGCTTTCCTAGTGTTCGCGCTCCATTATTAAATGTTAGTTTAGTGCCACAGCATATTGTTTTCCATCACGCTGGTGGTACTTACTTTAATAGTGCGTAATTTTAAAAAAAAGTGTGAAATTGCAAATTGTGAAAGTAAGTTTCACTTTTAACGTGCTTTGCGACCATTTTGAAATAATCGTGAATTTCCTTACCTGGTGCGTAGAAGTCGTAGACTCGTATTGGCAAGTACCGCGACATGTTCGCCACGGGGAACCACCGCTCGATCGTGAAGTTTATGCACGTGGGCTCCTGGTCCAGCTGATGAAAGAACAACGGATATTTAGTTAAATAAGTAAAAAAATAAATTAAGGAATTTTCTGAACCATGCTAATGAGATACCGTAAAATAGGTGAATAGACACAACTTTCAACTTCTACACTGTTTTTCTTACATACATTAAATCTTACATACATATACAGTCAGTTAAAGTTGGGCGAAGTGTTAATTTTTCATTCTTGGTTCGGATAAATGTGACATTTTCTTCTAAGTTGGAGCAGTTAGCTAAGAATTATAAACAACAGGTTACACAAGCACTACCCAAGATTACACAAAAAATAATCGAAAAAAAGTTACTTTTGGGAGATCCTGTATATTGTATATAAGTTGATAATAAAACACTTTCATGTTGTGAGTCTTGTTGTGGTTTAACGAATACTAATGCTTTAAACGAGTAAAACATACAAATTCATTGTATTTCAGAAACAAGTAGTCTGTTTCTATGTATCGGGAATCCGGGGTTAATAGATACGACATAGGGAGCGAACAGAAAAAATGCTAGGGTTGTCAAATTTGCTTTTGTTGTAGTATGTAGGTTGCGAGTCAAATAAAAGCAAACATAACTACATCAACATTTTCATTATAAAAAATTATTAGATATTACATCTGATATTTATAAAATTACATATTAGTAATTAAACTTAACTTTAAAATATCAGAGTAATGTAATTTAACTGCTTTGTAACGTAAGCATTTCCGACATAAAGCCATTAAATAAATAAGCCACTCTTTACATAGTTATGAACATATTTCTTTTTTTTTTTAAATTAAATAAAATAATATTCTAGTTTGTTAATTTATATAACACTAATTATAATACTACGTATTTTGATTAATAAACTTTAGTTATTTTAGTTTTCTTTCTTAGTTTCTATTAACCCCAATCATCATCATTACAGCCCTTCACAAGTCCACTGCTGAACATAGGCCTCCCCCAAAGAATGCCACAAAGCACGGTCCTGAGCCACCTGCATCCATCGACTTCCTGCATATCTTACCAGGTCGTCACTCCATCTAGTGGGGGGACGCCTTACACTTCGCCTGCCGGTACGAGGCTGCCACTCGAGAACCTTTCTTCCCCATCGGTTGTCGGTTCTTCGAGCTATATGGCCGGCCCATTGCCACTTCAGCTTACTAATCCGTTGGGCTATGTCGGTCACTCTGGTTCTACTGCGGATATCCTCATTTCTGAGTTTATCACGCAGAGAAACTCCGAGCATAGCCCTCTCCATAGCTCGCTGAGTGACCTTGAGCTTCCTCATCCGACCAGCAGTGAAGGACCACGTCTCAATTCCGTATGTCATCACTGGCAACACGCACTGGGTGTACAGTCTCGTTTTCAAGTTTTGAGGTATACCTGACGAGAAGATGTGCCGTAATTTCCCGAACGCTGCCCAACCGAATTGAATCCGTCGATTGACCTCTCGGTCGAAGTTGGACTTACCTAGTCGGACTATTTGTCCCAGGTAAACATACTCGTCAACAACTTCGAGCTTAGTGTTCCCAACAACTACCGGCATAGGTGTGACATGGACATTAAACATGATCTTTGTTTTGTCCATGTTCATCTTAAGACCTATCCGTTGGGAAACACTATTGAGGTCATTGAGCTTAGGTCCTCCAGCGATTCTGCCATAAGGACTATATGGTCGGCAAATCGAAGGTGAGTGATGTACTCGCCATTGATGTTGATACCGTATCCTTTCCAGTCCAGAAGCTTGAAAACATCTTCCAATGCAGCGGTAAAGAGTTTCGGGGATATGACGTCACCCTGTCTTACACCTCTCTGCAATTGGATAGGTTTCGTACTCTGGTTCTGTACTCGGATAGCCATCGTAGCCCTACTGTATAAGCACTTCAACACTTCGATATACCGACAGTCAACTTGGCATCGCTGAAGGGACTGCAGCACCGCCCAAATTTCGACGGAATCAAAGGCTTTCTCATAGTCCACATACGCCAGACACAGTGGCAAATTGTACTCCTCGGACTTCTGCACAATGTGCCGAAGGGTATGTATGTGGTCTATGGTGCTAAAGCCTTTTCGGAAACTGGCTTGTTCGGGAGGCTGGAAGCCGTCAAGTCTGCGCGCGAGACGATTCGTAATGACTCTCGAAAACAGCACGTAGACGCGGCTCAGAAGCGAAATCGGTCTGTAGTTCTTCAAGAGAGCGTTGTCGCCTTTCTTGAAGAACAAGACCACCGCACTTCTGCTCCACGCCGCCGGTGTAATGCCACCATGGAGGACGGAATTAAAGAGCTTCTGAAGGACTTCAAGTACCGGTTTTCCACCCGCTTTCAGAAGCTCCGCTGTAATTCCATCCTCGCCTGGGGCCTTGCCGTTTTTAAGGTGCTGGAGAGCCATTCTAATCTCGCTCAGACTGACGTCCGGGATATCATCGGAATAATGTCGGATAAGACTCGCTTTTGGATCGTTACTCATACTTGCGTGCGGCTCCAACGATGACGTGTACAGCTGCCCATAGAATCTCTCAATCTCACTCAAAATCTCAGGTGCCCCGGAAACGATGCTGCCACATTTGGTCTTCAGATTTGACAGTTGGCTCTTTCTGGCAGACAGATCTCTGGCAAAGACTTTGGAGCCTTGGTTCCGCTCGATCGCTTCTTCAATACGAGCTGTATTGAAGTTGCGTAAGTCCCGCCACATGCATTTGGAGATCTGTCTGTTCGGTTGCCTGTATGCTGTCAAATCTTTTGAAGAATGTAGCTTCATCTCCCGTCTAACAGCCATGAGATTAAGAGTGTGATCGGAGAGTTTTTGTGTTCTTCTGCGGCGGGTCTTGCAGAACTTAGCTCCGACCGCATGGACAGTTTCCACGAGCTTGTCATTCATATCGTCCACTTCATTGCAGTCTTCTAGGCACTGAAAACGGTTTTGTAACTCGAGCTGAAAGGTTTCGGGACTTTGGATTAGAGCACGAGGGGGACGGAGCGTTGACTTCATTAGACGAGACCTCTCCAACTTAACGTTTAGGTTCAGTGTGCCTCTAACCATTCGGTGATTGCTGCCGGTTTTCACCATCGCGATCACTGAGACATCACTGAACAGTTGTCGTCTGGTCGTCATAATGAAATCAATCTCATTTTTTGTCGAAACGTCGGGGCTCGACCAGGTCCACTTCCTGTGGGGCCGCTTCTGGAAGAAAGAGTTCATCATAAAGAGTCCCTGTTTCTCCATGAAGTCGGCCAGCTGCTGACCCCTTGGGTTCCGTTGCCCTATTCCAAATTTCCTCACTTTCAGCTCACCGTTCTCTCTTGTGCCTAGTTTTGCATTGAAGTCTCCGTTAACACCGTATATTGGGTTTTGGAGGAATGCATGGCTCTAGAGATATCCTCATACATACATTTCCTCCACCTTCTGATCGGGGTGTGCCGATGTTGGTGCGTAAACCTGTATGACCTTCAGCGAATACCGTTTGGTGATTCTGAGTATAAGGTACGCAACCCTCGTCGACACACTCTCAATCTTTACAACGTTGTTAACGAGAGACTTGTGGACGATAAATCCGACACCTCCTTGGGACAGATGGTCGCCCTCCCGGTAATAGAGCAAGTTGCCGGATTCGAGGATTACCGTGTCCTCCCCCTCGCTTCGGACTTCGGATAATCCTATAATATGCTAGCGTAACTTGTCTATCTCTTCTTCCAGCTCCACAATCTTCTCGTCAGTACTCAGGGTGCGTGCGTTGTATGTTGCCAGGTCGAGTCGTCGTAGTTGACAACCGAACCTCCACCGGAGATTCTTAGCACCCCCTGTCCCGCCGTTACCATGCTCGCCACCGTAGCCAGGAATAGCGGGGCCGCCGGGGACTGGGGGTTGTCTCTTCGTAACTTTCATCATGGGGGGTATATTGCAATAGTTGCCACGCTTGGCGAGCGGGTTGGCAACCGCAGTTTTTTTATTGTATTTTTGCCGTTACCAGGAAGGTGCTGCTGCCCATCTCCTGTCTGTTTCCCTTTGTCGCCTTTTACGACACCCACGGGAAGATATGGGGTAGTGGATATTCTTAACCGCCATTACACGGCATTAACCCCAAAGGCGTTTTTATTCAGCCTTCAGTCGTATCGATTCACCTCAAATTCGAGAAAAATACCAGTAGCCTAATTTTACTATTTAAAAGATTAAACTAATTTAAAAGATTTCGCTGCTGCTGCACCATGTAGCCCGTCGGCACGCCCACCTCCAGCACCGCCATGCCCGACCGCACCGACTGCGACACCAGCACTGTGTACGTACGTAGTCGAAGTAGAAGAGTATCTTGTCGGGCTGGTACTTGGCGCGCTGCAGCGTGGGCACGGCGCGCGACAGCACGTAGGCGTCGAGGCGCTGCTGCTGCACCATGTAGCCCGTCGGCACGCCCACCTCCAGCACCGCCATGCCCGACCGCACCGACTGCGACACCAGCACTGTGTACGTACGTAGTCGAAGTAGAAGAGTATCTTGTCGGGCTGGTACTTGGCGCGCTGCAGCGTGGGCACGGCGCGCGACAGCACGTAGGCGTCGAGGCGCTGCTGCTGCACCATGTAGCCCGTCGGCACGCCCACCTCCAGCACCGCCATGCCCGACCGCACCGACTCCGACACCAGCGTCCAGCTGCACACCACATGGATATGTCAATACAAAATAGAAACACGCACCATTTCCTGATTTCATTTTAATTAACATTTGACGCCTTATTACAAAAAGTCACTTACATATATCAGGTTTAAAATAAAGAGTTTTAATTAGATGTCTCATGGAAAATGTGTAAGATGTGCAGGATGTATATTATGTGTAGGGTGTGCAGTATGTGGGGGTTGATATACTATGTGTATATGGAGGTGTGTGCATTGTATGTATAGGGTGTGTAGAGTCTGTACTATATGTAAGGTAGGGTCTGTACAGAGGCTTTTTTCGTACCAATGGTAATTAAACAAAAAACTGACTTTCAATAAGTATTATTTATAATCTATATTGAATAAAAAATCTTCTGTTTATGTAGTGTGTGAGTGTATACTGTGTGTAGTATGTGTAGGTGTACTGTATGTAGATTGTGCTGTGTGTAGGGTGTGCACTGCGTATAGGATGTGTAAAGTGTGGAGGTGTACACTATGTGTAAAGTATGTGGAAGCATGTACTGTGGTGTAGTGTGCAGTATATGCTGTGTATAGGTTACGCACTGTGTGTAGGGTGTATACTGAGTATGGTGTGTGCAGTATGTAGGGTGCGCGTGCTGTGTGTTTGCTGTGGGTAGTGTGTAGTGTACTGTGTGAAACGTATGTGTGATGCTTGCCTGGCGCAGCTGCGGTAATCGACGTGCGACTGGTTCCGTCCGTAGAAGCTAGCCTGCGTGCGCAGCTCAAAGGCGCGCAGGGGCGGCGGCGTCTGGAAGCGCGGCACGTCTACGTTGTACTGCACCGACAGCTGCAGCAGCGCGTACCCCGCGCCACGGGCAGTCACCTTCACCGTGCCCCACGCCTCCGGGATCTGCAACGTGCAACCAAACATTTCTATGTATACTACAAGACGGACTATGGGGCCTTAATACAATATGCACAAGTTACAGTCAATTTTCCGTAACTCTACTGCAACTGAATAGGTTGTCGTTGCACAACGTGAGCGTGCGCGTGTGCCCCGCAGCGCCAAAGTGTACACCGTGTACACCGGCACACGCAGCGCGCGCAGTGTACCGGAGTGCAGTGAGTGCAGTGGAGTGCAGCGCTCACCTCTATGCTGTGCATGAGCGCCAGGTTGTCGTTGCGCAACATGAGCGTGCGCGTGTGCCCCGCAGCGCCACCGTGTACAGCGTGTACACCGGCACACGCAGCGCGCGCAGTGTACCGGAGTGCAGTGAGTGCAGTGGAGTGCAGCGCTCACCTCTATGCTGTGCATGAGCGCCAGGTTGTCGTTGCGCAACATGAGCGTGCGCGTGTGCCCCGCAGCGCCACCGTGTACAGCGTGTACACCGGCACACGCAGCGCGCGCAGTGTACCGGAGTGCAATGAGTGCAGTGGAGTGCAGCGCTCACCTCTATGCTGTGCATGAGCGCCAGGTTGTCGTTGCGCAACGTGAGCGTGCGCGTGTGCCCATGCAGCGCCACGGCGTCCACGGCCACGCTGAGCGCACTCACGTCTCGCAGACGTTTGCGGTTCGTGTACTCGATGAGGGCGCGCAACGCGATGTAAGTGTCCTGTCCGACAAACATTTGTTAAGTAATCAAACTGTTCATACTTAATAATCACATAACTTTATCACATAACTTAAATACCACATATTTAGTATAAACTGACGTTATAATAGATTCGCTATGTAAAAGAGAAAGAGCATTAGAGTACGCGTATGTTAGAGCGAGAAAGATGGGTGTGACCATTCACGTACATGCTATCGGCCTGGCGTCATTCGTGAACAAAAGATATCCCGCTAGTGTTTGCGATAGCTCAGGTTTTAAAGTGAAAATTAGTTTTTAATAAACGTAATTAATTATGACTAGGTGCATAGCATCAAAATTTAAATCACCTCAGAAACAAAACCCCTCATTATTATACATTTAACCTATAGGTAGATACGATTGAAACGTTTTGCTGTCTCAAGGTTTTGTTTTTGAACAGGTACAAGCGATTTGTACACAAATGAATGGGAAAAAATATTACATTTTATAATTTTAATGTTATGAATGTATAGAAATTGAATTTAAAATACTTACAAATACGTGAAATCCTGCTAATTCTAACCTCACTTTCGTAGAAATTGACACTATCGATAACAGCTTATCGAAATGTCCCTAACTGGCAAAGGTATGCTTTGCATTCAGCCAAATTCAACTTCGTAATATTCACACAAAAGACAGTTCGAAATACAAGTTTAGACTACAGAGAGAGGGAAAGAGGTGAAGAATAAATGTAAACAATTACATATAGAAACGACAGTTGAGCTAGGAACCCGATGATAGATTGGTGTGATTTAAATAACTCAGGCGACGCGAGCGTAGCAGACGGCTACGAAAGCAGTGCGAATGGTGCCGAGCATTGACGAGCATGGCCGACCCCAACTGACACGAACAGTGCGTTTAACATGAACACGCGTACTGACGTTTATTCAAAGGCGTACGCACTGGCGTACGCCTTTGAATAAACTTAATCAAAACTGACAGAAATTGCATGTCGCCACATACATAACCGATGACTTCTTGTCTTTACTATGGCGTATTTAAAAAATTGAAATTAATTATTTACAACTTAAATATCACTAATCATTCACAAAAATGTTTTCAAGGTGGATAATTGTTATTATTCAGAGCTTGCACATGTAGTACTGTCTAATTCTGAATTTTGGAGCTGCATCATTGTGCTAGCGCTAGGGTTTCGCTCGAAAAACTCGATCACTTCGTTTTCGACAGCCGGGCTTATTACTGAAATAGCTGTTTTCCGCGACTTCGCCCGCGTGGAATATATTAGGATTGGATATCATGTGTTTTAATTTTTTTGCGCGGAACCCTAATACTTTTTCTAAAATAAAATCCTTATAACATCGGCTATCTGCCAGTGAAAGTTCCGTCAAAATTGGTCCAGCTGTTTCGGAGATTAGCCGGATCAAACAGGCCGACAAAAATTTTAAAAATTTTTTGTTATAAGTACCGTATACACTTCCAAATGCGCTTAGTAAAAGCTGTTATTTCGACATTACAAGCAGACACTTCAATTTTTATATATGTATAGATGACCACTTCGAGCACTTCTATATGATGGAGTGATGAACTGTCTAGTCTTAAAAATTGTACTCCAATTGGGTGGACACGTGCGTTATTTCCTTGTCTTTGCAAACGCGGTAAAGACTCACTTTCTTATAATCATTGCGCACCATGTAAACTTTTATTGCTTAAAAGGTAACAATTTATCATAGGCACGCAATAAAAAGCTGATAAACGTTTATTTACTTAATATTATTCTCCTGTGTCAACCCTACTAAAATAGGTAAAAAATTTGACAGCCCCTAAGTAGCTATGCCTCTGTACGTTATTTATACTCATGTGTCGTAATATTCTTCTTATCATATGAATTTTTTAATAGAATTAGGGTAACAAACGAGCACACAGTCCATCTGATGGTAAGTGGACGTTGTGGCAGATTTTCACAAAATGTTGATGTTAAAAAAAATGGTTGAAAATAATAGAGAAGAATGGGTTCCCCAGAAGAAAATATTAGACTATATGGAGCAAGTACTTTGGAAAAATGGTTTTCATATAGTTGCATTAAGGAAAAAACTACAAGACATCTAACCAATAAACACTTATTGATAAAATTATCCTTTAGAACTTTTTTTATTTTATAGAAGAGGGTGCAAACGAGCATGCGGCTCTCCTGATGGTAAGTGACTACCGCCGCCCATGAACAACTGCAACACCAGGGGAATTGCAGATGCGTTGCCGGCCTTTTAGAAAGGTGTAAGCTCTTTTCTTGAAGGTCCCTAAGTCGTATCGGTCCGGAAAAATCGCCGGTGGTAAACAATTTCACAGAAAAGTTGTACGAGGTAGAAAACTCCTAGTAAAACGTACAGTCGTGGACCGCCAAGCATCCAGATGGTGAGGATGGTATCGTGAATTTAGACGCGATGTGCGTTCGTGAAAGAGCAATGGCAGAAAAATAGTTGACAAAAATTATCGCGTCTAGAAATAAGTTATATTTAAATTAGTTTTATTATTTTTCTATGATTTTTCGAATAAAAATGTATTTTAATTAAAGCCACAGAAAACATTTTTGGGAATATCAAATGACTTAAATCCTTTTACTCTATTCAAGTGTTGCCATTTAGTATATTCATACTATTTTCGTATACACTTTGTAAGACTACAAACACAACACACAAAATATTTTTATATTAAGTTATATATAACTGTACTATCAGTAATAATTAAAATAAAAGTGAAATGGCTGAGAATAAGTCTCTTACTAAGAATTTCCTACAATAATAGTGTTGCGCGCCACTATTAATGTCTTATACATGGCAACACTAGTTACCACTAGCACCCTCTAGTATCGAGTAGCAGTACTAGGGGTGTCACGATCCTTCTAGAAACTTCGGAACCGATATGTACTCGAACATTCTAGATGTTTCTACAGTAGAAGGTTCTGGAAACTATCTGAGGTCCTATATAAGGCCGGTATAGACCATGACCGAGTCAGTATTGAATTGGCGATATAAGCGAATACTTCGAAGTGATATAACTGCGAACGAAAGTGATGAGTAGTACAATTTTGTGTTATTATTAGTGTTTCTAAGTTGTAATTAGTGTTCTGTAATTAAAGTGTCAATTTTGGTAATTCAATCGGCAGTTTTTAATTGTCTCGAACCCCAAGCTCATAACAATACATTAACTCAATCATAGTACTATGTAACAATTCCATTTAATGTTATGCCAACACTAGCTAAAACAAAATGTCACTGTTTTTTTTTACTGGCTTTACGGCTCTGGGTTCTAGCCCTTCTGAGAATGTCACTATGATACAAAGGCCCTGGAGCCAAGCCAGAAATATACATTTATAGTATGCAAATATATAATAGAGATACAATAATCTAAAAACTCTAAATTATGTATTATGTATTAAGCTAACATCAGATTCTCAGAACAAAATTCTTTGACAGAGTTATTCAGGGTTGACGCTTAACATTTTAAAATATTTTTGATATATAGACGCTACCATTTCTTCTCAACTAATTTTATGTATGAAAGTCTGCCATTGTTCTTTGGCGGCTGGAATTAATCCGAACAATTCCTCAGAGCACTCCCCGTGGTAAATTCGATAGAAAATGCAAAGGGATACAACATACCTATGCAGTGTCAGTGTATCGAGACAATCAGAAAGAACTCGGTCGTCGACGATTTGAACTGCTCTGCGCTGGATGCGGTCAAGTGGAAGGAGCTGGCCCTGGGGTGCCCCGGCCCAGAGATGAAAACAGTATTACATGTGAGGCCGAACTTGCGCTTTGTAAAGTTGCAAGCGATGTGCCGGCATGAAATACTGTCTCGCTCTGCTGAGCACGCCAAGCTTATTAGAGGCCAATTTGGCCTTCCCTTCCAAGTGACCACGAAACTGCACACTATTCGATATGTCGACGCCAAGGATTCCGATGCTAGCTGAGGCAGCAAGGGGAGTGCCGTGAAACTGAGGAGATACAACAAAGGGGTTCTTTTGCACGCAAACTTGTGTCTTCTGGGTATTGAACCGGACTAGATTTCATCATCACCATCATCATTACAGCCCTTCACAAGTCCACTGCTGAACATAGGCCTCCCCCAAAGAATGCCACAAAGCACGGTCCTGAGCCACCTGCATCCATCGACTTCCTGCATATCTTACCAGGTCGTCACTCCATCTAGTGGGGGGACGCCCTACACTTCGCATGCCGGTACGAGGCTGCCACTCGAGGACCTTTCTTCCCCATCGGTTGTCGGTTCTTCGAGCTATATGGCCGGCCCATTGCCACTTCAGCTTACTAATCCGGTTGGGCAGCGTTGGGGAAATTACGGCACATCTTCTCGTTAGGTATACTTCAAACCTTGAAAACGAGACTGTACACCCAGTGCGTATTGCCAGTGATGCCATACGGAACTGAGACGTGGTCCTTCACTGCTGGCCGGATGAGGAAGCTCAAGGTCGCTCAGCGAGCTATGGAGAGGGCTATGCTCGGAGTTTCTCTGCGTGATAAACTCAGAAATGAGGATATCCGCAGTAGAACTAGAGTGACCGACATAGCCCAACGGATTAGGACTAGATTTAGTCGCCCCCAATTCGAGACTTTGTTCAGCAAAGACTCGACAGACACAAGTTTATACCGGTACTCGGCGACGTTTTCCCGAGAAATATTGGCACGGCCGGTATATAAGACATCACCGGTGCTGTTGTCTGCATAGCAATGAATGTTACCAGTTTGCAACATATCATTGATATGCAGGAGAATCAGCGTTGGTGAGATAGCATGAAGCCTTGTGGAACACCAGCGTTGATAGGCTTGAAATCAGAGCATGCACCGTCTACTACGACCTTCATGCTCCGATCAGCAAGGAAACTGGTGATCCATTTGCACAATTTCTCGGGAAGCCCATAGGAAGGGAGCTTCGAAAGAAGCGCTTTATGCCAAACCCGATCGAAAGCTTTCGCTATGTCCAAACTAACGGCCAATGCCTTCCCCTTG